GGAGTGGGTCCAGACATTTGTACTGGGAAAACGTAACAGCCATAAATTTGCCAGCACTAAAAAAAAATGTTTCTAACGACTCATCTGTTGTTTTAATAACTTCTTGGGCATGGTGGTCCCCTTACGATTTCTGACCAAATTATCCTGTGTATGTCCCTCTAGAAACATGTTTCGACAAGAGAAGAGATTCTACATATTTCTTTAAGTCCATCAGGCTTACATAAATATTATCAGTAAAATAATAAACTTTTCACACCAATTTGTCAGTTGAGAGAAGCGTTTTATGTCCTTTTACAATAGAAAAGTATCCTTTGATTCTGTTACCTGTTTTATGTGCTTGTTGTTAAGATTTATTAGTATCTCTATTTCGTCCCCCTATAATAACTCAACTTTTCACTGTGCTCAGACTATGTGAAGAGAGACTTACCCTGTTTGATGGAACATTACGATTCCACTGTTGAGGCTGATTTGGGCCACCGCCACTCTTCAGAGTTGTACCCTCCTCACCCCTCGGGTCTGATGGTGCATCAGAGAAGAGAATAATATATAAAAAACAAGGCACATCTTTTTAGGTGTTTAGGGCGTTCCAGTCCCTGGCAGACAAAAGGAATTACTGTTTCACCGTGACCACTTACGCCCTGACCACTTTTCCGTTTATTTGATAGTACGCTGGACAAAACTGTTCTGGATCGACATTTTTCGACAAGAAATTAAAGCTAGCAAAGTTATGCTAATTATTTTGTGACTGTCTTAAACCTTATAAAATTCCACACATGGAAAATTATTTTCATATGGATCATGCCAGGAAGACGCGATTTCTAAGAGAAATAGTTGTGTTTTTCATCGACATCCTAGTAGATCGGTGTTGTTGTGCGAAGAAGATCATCACGTGTTTGTGGATTTTTTTGTCATGTATTCGATGAGATGCATCGAGAGCAATAATCCATCCAAACTGCACAATAGTCCTGTGATACATCAGCGGTTTAGCAAATCAAAGACTCTGGTTGTGGTGCTACCACCGAAGGGCCACGAAGCAAACAAGGCAAACCAAACAAAGTCTTATGGCAAGAAAATGCGATAAAATGGCAAGCTCCTGATAGATGAGCCCAGAAACAAGTTCGGCATGTTTCCGAAAAGCACAAATAGGATTGTCTGAGGTTCTTGGCGGACAATACTTTGACACAACAGCATTTTGTGCAATTGTGGTTTGTACGAAGCACGATCTAAAGGCCGCCATCTTCAAACCAGGTGGAAGACCGATCTAGTGGCAAGAAGAGTTTAAAGACGATCAGTGTCTAAAGACAGTTTCGCATTTCAGTGGGCAAATAAGTTGCAAAGTCTTTCTCATGCTTTCTTGTCAAATTATTGACAAAAAAACCCATAAACACGTAACGATGTTCTTCGCAAAACAACACTTCAAATGGTACTTTCTTTTCTCAGAAATCACGTGATTTTGCATACTATTGTGATTCAGTTACCAACAGTTGGCTACGCTGTAACGCAAGTCTCCCTTGTGTGATCTATATGAAAATAATTTTCCATGTGTAGAATGAAATAAGGTTTAAGACAATCACAAATCATTTGCATCACTTTCTTCTTCTAATCTTTTGTTGTAAAGCGCCGATTCAGAACATTTTTGTCCAGCGTACTATCTTAAATTATTTTCCTCATTCGATTAAAAAGTCCCGTGGATCCCATCAATTTCATAATTTAATGATCTGTTAGCTGGTCAAACGAAAATGATCATGTTAGCCGATTTGGTAGCGCAATAAGCACAACTTCTCATGGAGGAAAATAAAATGGTGCGCAATAGAATGCTCTTTAGTTGAAAAGAGGGCTATCGCAAATGTAAATGGGTTTAATTCATCTTAAAGTACTGCTAAATCTATATCCACCACTAGTCACAGACATTGAGGGCAATGGTTGTTTTAGTATGTATGTATATATATACACCAATAAGCCGTAGGATAAAATACGCGAAAAAATTGACTCGGAAGACTGCAGAACTTCCCAATAAAATTCCCGCGCAAAATGTGCAGCTACGCAAGAAAAGTCACATTATTCATCAGGTGATAAACAAGAGAATTCAAGCGTGTTTCGTGTATTTAGCAAAATTGAAAAACGGTAAACAATGCGAAAAAAGTGGTTGATCTTTCGAAAAGATTGCTTCAGTTCAGACTTTGCTGGAAGTTTCTGCCTGAAGAGTCACCTTGAGGCCAACTGCCGAAGAGTCGGCAAGGGACTCTTTGCTGTAGAAACTTTCGTCGCGTTTCTACAAAAAATTGTCAAGTTGCTTTGGCAAGATATCTTCAGTAGAAGTGTTTTAAAACCATGCTGTGAGACATTTTATAAATTTCATAGTTTTCATTTTGCTAGTCTCTAAATAAAAACGCTTGAGTTGCTTTGTCGAAGTTGTCGTAAGTTGCAAATTGCAGTTTTCTGCCGGTTTTCGCCGATAATCTTGGTCTAAAAATAATAAAACTGTGTTTGTAAATACTGCCAGGCGAGTTAGTAGGGACAACCACTTTGTAGACTGCGAAAATTTCTTCTTCAGTGCTATACGGTTGGAAACCAAGAAAGGTCAAGAAACCATTTTATTTTTAAGCTGAAACTAGACCTTAGCGCTCCGTATTGCAAACGGGACCAATCAGAATTCACCTTTCATTGTGATCAAATCCCATGTATTCATTAAAACATACTAAACAATTAGTGGACGAGCTCAAGCAAAATACCGTGATTTGTCAGCGGCGAGCAGATCAATTATTTGTCGAAACCGGAAAGCTGAGGCAAATAGTTGATCTGCGAGACACTTAGAAATCACAAGATTTTGCGATAACCGAGGGCAATAATTATTTTATCATTCGATCACCAAGCTTGTTTTTGTATTTAAATCACTCTCTGACAGCTTAGGGAGGCGATCTGCCATTTTTCACGCAAGAGCGTGGTCACAATTACGCATGAGCGGAATGTTGTTTGCACCATTATTTGTAGGCAGTTAGTTGTTGGTCACTTGGTGGGCTCTCGGCCAATTAAAAGAGAAGAAAAATAAATGGAATGACAATTATATTTGCTACCTGCAGTAAGAAACTAGCGAAACGTTCTCTCTTGAATAGAAACTAATGAAAGATTTACCTTTATTAAATCTTGCTTCAAACTGACCTTCGTAATCACCTCTCTCTTTTTCTGAATCAGAGGAGGATGTTTCAGCATCTCCAAAATACTCCCTTTCGGAAAGATCATCTTCCTTCAGTTGTTTGACATCTTTTTCGGAAGGCCATGAAACTGAAAAAGACACGTTACAGGGTAGAATTATCTTGACTTGGTATCACTATCATTTATAAGAGCTTTTAATGCTTAAATCTCATTAGAATAAATAAGAAGCACTGGCTGGTTACTCGATTACAAACGGTTCAGCCATGACATGTGTCATATTACGTCATGCCACGTGCTCCCATCGGGCCTCAGGAGCTTGAGGCGGGACCGGAGCTATCCGCAATATTGTTCGCTCGTGTTGTCATGTTTTCAGCCGTTGCGTTATTAAATAAAGAACCTACAAGACAATATCGTGACATGGATGTCAGAAGCGGGATAGATTTACGCCAACGGGGGAGTTTTCAGTACTAGGACAACCAGGGAAACCGGTACGTACGATTTTACAGTGTTGACTACAAGGTCTTATCGTGCGATTCAGCCAAAATGAGCGACTTAGTTGGTTTCGAAGTACCAAAAATGGACTGGACCCCTGGCCCAGATTTGTTAACTAGATTCAAGGGATTCCGCCAAAAGTGAGAGCTTCTACTTGATGGACCATTAAAAAGTCGAGAAAGCACTCAGAAGTGCAAATATGTGTTACTGTGGTCAGGAGATTATGGCCTAGACTTGNGCATTGTGCACCCGAGGGAGTTTCACAACTCAAAAGTAATCCATCGCAGAATTACACAAGCTGCACCTTTAAATTCCTTCTCCAAAGACAACTGGAAGTCTCAGCCTCATCCACAGAAGAAAAGGAAGGTCTTCCACCATTGATTCATGGGACGATTATTGAACTTTGATGCATGAAGTCGAAGTAGACTATGTTCGTCCCGACTTCAGAACTGCTTGTTTCTTTGTTATGCTCGAATGAGTTTTCGTCACATGACATCGTTTTCCATACTAAATGAGATGTCAAGCCGTTTCCGGTTCCGCTATTTTAAAACCGGCTACTGAATATAAAATTTAACGCGATAAAATTGTGCGATTTCAAAATGGATTTAATAAAGTGGCAACTGAACTTCGTGTCGTGCAATTTTGGTCTGAAATCATACTTGTGATTTCAGACCAAATTGCACTCAACTTAGTTCAATTACCATTACTTATTATATGACTGAGAAAATAACTTCGTTGTGATTGCCTGAGAGCAGGCCAAATTATCGTTAATTTTTAATGCAGTGCAAATTAACGGCGCGCGTTCGCAATTTTCTCAGTCATATAATAAATGAGTAATCATATGAAAGCTCGAGCAATTACGGATTTACACTACTCGTGATATTTGAAATTCTTTCAAATTACACTCGCCTGAAGGATCGTGCAATTTTGAGATAATTTTCGTAAATCCTTAATTGCTCTCATACGATTACTAAAACCAATCTTCTCAAAGCCTAACTTGTTATTATATTCCAAATGTTTAGAGTTTGTTAGTAAGTTTAAATTATTTGCCTTTCGTTTCTTTTCTTTTTTCTTTTTGCTCCTATATCAAAAGTCTGTCTACGACTATGTATATCTATGCTATGGTTTAACTAACAGCGCATTTACCGTTTGGTTATGGCACGCAAAAATGTCGCAATTTCTTCATGACCATTTGCATCAGCCATGTCTTCTGGTAAAGGAGATTCCTTCTTGTACGCCTCAAAGACAATCCTACCGGCTGACGTGGAGAATATCATTCGAATGAACTCCTCAGCACCAATCCCCGCTGCAGTATAAACCAAACATCGTAAAATATCCATTGCCTGTCGCTGTCGTCCATCACTGGGCAATCCTGGAAGACGGGGGGGATAAGCATTTATGATCTATTTTTATCAATAATGTTTGCGATGAGCAGGTTATTATTTCTGGCTACTCAGAAAATTGGCGATGACATACTGAGAAGTTTTGTACTTGTCTTCACAGGATACTGCTCTCTAACAACACATGCTAACTTATGTGGCTTTAAGCCAGTCCATGTGCTGACATGACCAGTGAAAGACAAAAGTTTGACCTTACCAAAAGTTTGTGTGTTATTTTCTTCACTTTCATCGTTCTCGCATTGTTTGCCCAACATCGTAAAAAGTCTCCCTTGCAGGTTTCTGGACTTGATTATCTGCATCAGTATTTCTTCATCTTGATTCACATAAGTGAACAGCGTTTTTCCCAGGAAATCACCATTCTTTGTCGTAATTGTCACTGTGACAGTCCCTGGTACTTCTCCAGCTACATAAGAAAGTTTTGGAAAATGTATTATCCGAGATAATTACGAGTTGCGAGTTGTGAGCTACGAGTTGCGAATTGCGAGCTACGAGCTACGAGCTGCGAGCTGCGGGTTGTGAGCTGCGAGTTGCGTGCTGCGAGTTGCATATCTAATTCTAGGTGTACGATAGTGACGGACGGGGAGGGACGGTGGACGCTAGGCGTTTACATGGAATAAGTTTATGCCTTCGAGTAATCTCCAGGCTATGATCACAAAGTGCGGGTTATAATGTCTTAGACTGAACGGTGAAAATTTCTCGGGTACGCTGAACTCGCTTGATCATGATCATGCGTCGATCTGAGGCACCCACAACGAAATTGAAAAAAAAAACTCTTTATATAATCGTTTTTAAAGTTGCAAAAATCATGAAATAGTGTCTTCCTCTGTTCTTGATAGGGCTGCTTAAGTAACGGCCTTCGTAAGGAACCGACCAACTTCGCTTACAAAATGTTCCGTAACTGTTTTTCGACGATTTTTATTTTGGAAAATAATATTTTCCGTGTTGTAGGTATGAATGGGAGATTCAATCGATCATTTCCTTCGCTACCTGTTAGACTTTTTGGGAATCCGCTGACCAATGCATAAGGCTTTTGCAGTCGTAGGGAGCTAAATTATCTTCAATGCAGAAATAATCTACATTGAAAAGATTTTCTCACGAACGTCTCTACATAGAAACAATTGAGCAATAGAGCACTTTTTCTGTGTTTACATAGCCTCATCTAAACACGATGGGGGTTGGGAGAATTCAAGAGAGTAATGCAAACCCAACACGCAGTCGAGAGTGTTTGCATAACTCTCGAGAATTCTCCCAATCCCCCAGAATGTTTAGATGAGGACATGTAAACAAGGAAAAAGTACTCTACTGCTTCTATAAAATATTTCTTGAAAATACGCGAGAATCTAAAACGTCACAACCGTGTTTATATACTATCATCTAAACTGACACACCTATTGACCAATGAGAGCGCGCGTAGTATCTAAAGTATTTTATAAATTATAATAACGCATTTCCTGAAGTTGTCCGCTTAATATAGGTTAATTTGACTGTACTCGACTGCCGAAAAAGAAGATCTCGAAAATCACTAAATTAATGAGCTGTGTGAACATTCGAATGACTAAAGCCGTGATTAAAATTTTTAGACGAGAAACGGACAGGAGAATTGAGAGCAATTCCAACGATGCGTTTCGCTATAATTTTTACGGCCTGTGAATAAATATGGCCATGGTGAAATGATAGGAATAAGTTAATAGTTATGAAAACGAAGAAAAGACGTAACACAGATCTAGGAGTTCTGCAGTCACTGATATCGCCATGGAAATGGAAGAAGAAAAGAAAAAAGAAATCATTGCAACACGGGGTATTCGTATTTGGTCACCCAACCAAGTACTGATCGCGCCGAACAGGACTTAACTTTAATTTGGTGATGCGACGACACGCGCTAGTGTCCTTGTAGTATAGTGGTTCCACGCTGAGAACAGTATTATAACAAGAGAAGAAAAACAAATTTCGAAACCCACACCTGGAATTGATCCCAAAACCTACGATCGTAAATGTCAAATTGAAGATCAGTTTTAGATCTCATCAAACCTTTTATCATGGAGCGGTCGAACTCTCCTAACGCTTTGTCACACAGGGTAATGGAGGGGCGAGGAACAGGCGGGTAAATCTCCCTTCTTCCTACTTTTCGAGTCAGTTTTTCCCCCTTACTACTTAAAATGTTCCATAAAATTCAGGTTCAGCAATAACAGTTAGTTATAAACCCTTTTGTAACACAGTGTAACACAGTGTAAGATCAAAGACTGCTAATGGCCCCATGTCCATACAGTCAATACACTAACCTGGAATAATCTACTTAGCTTTAAAACGACATCAGCGACATCGCCGAACAATCATGTTAAAGGTGTCTGAGCTGAGCTTTTAGAAGTAAAAACTCCTTGAAGTGTCCGCTTATTGTAGGTTTTGTGCAACAGAGGTGTCCGCTGAATGCAGGTTTATTTTACAGTGAATGTGGGAAGAAAATTTAGGGACTCGAGCTGGTGTTCGCTTAATAGAGGGTGTCCGCTTAATATGGGGTCCGCTTAATAAAGGTTTCACTGTATAGCGTTTCCTGGTAAAAATAATAAAAAAAAAATAAGCTTTCGACAGCCGGTCTACTGTCTTCGACGGATAAAAACTTGTGATAAAAACGAAATGTTAAAAATTTGAATATAGAGAGTAATTCGCATAAATTAAAAATACACCGTCATGTAAAGAATGTTCGGAAGAACGCTAAAAGCGCTAAAAGTAACGTTTGTTTAAAATAATGTTATACTGTCTCGGGAGTGGGCATGAGTTGTAGTCAGACTCAACAGTTTTTGCCGTGTGCAGTGATTCAAGTGTCTTTCTTGTGCGATGGTTTACTTTGTCAATGATTGTAGAGTTGTCAAAGTGAATTACTCTGTCTGTTCGATTGACTTTGTAATTGACACCGACAAATCACGATATTTTGCGACAAAAGGCAAGTTCAATAATTGTTTTCTCACTCGATCAAGAAGTTTGTTTTCTTATTTAAATCATTCTCTTGCAGTTCAGGAAAGCGATCTGCCATTTTTCACACTAGAGCGTTGTTAACAACAATGATCAACAATGATTTTATCAGTGCTGATATATGGTTTGCGCGAAATGGTATGAAGAGGAACAGTTCAGAATACCAGGCGATGGTGCCGTAGGAAAAAATAAAGGAACTGATGATCCAGTTTTCAAGTGTGAAGAGTCACAACTTCCCATATCCAACACAATGGAACTTCTTGGCGTGAC